AACAAAAAAAAAAAAAAAAAAAAAAAAAAAAAAAAAAAATGGGAACTGAGATCCAAGCAGCATTCCTTTTAACAGGCCATGTGGTCTGGCTTAGGGTTGCATCACCTGAAAAGGCACTTCCTTTTCTCATTTATAAGGGCCCATCTTTTTTTTAGTTTTACTTTTTGAGTTGGAGTCTTACTCCGTTGCCCAGGCTGGAGTGCAGTGGCATGCATGTTTACAGCTACCCCAGTGTCGGCCTGCTGGGCTCTGGCAATCCTTCTGCCTCAGCCTTCCAAGTAACCAGAACTACAGGCATGTACTACCACACCAGCTAATTATTTATTTATTTATTATAGAGACTAGGTCTCGCCAAGTTGCCCAGGCTGGTCTCGAACCCGTGGGCTCAGGCAATCCGCTCGCCTCGGCCTCCCAATTTGCTGGGATTACAGGCTGAGCCACCGAGCCCAGTATAAGGGCCCATCTTAACACCAGGCAGTGTCTGCCTGAAAGGAACATCTTTTACTAGTCTGTACAAAAAGAACAGTCTGGAGTAGAACATGCCTTGGACAGAGGTTGGCCACCTCCTCCGCTAGACTTAGGACACTGGGAAAAGGCCAAGAGTATCAGACAAGCGAGCAACTGTAATAAACAACCCCTACATCTTAGTGGTTTCATGGAACAGTCCAATGTGGGTGTTTGGGTAGGTACTCTTTCACACAGCAACTGGGACACCTCAGCTCTTTTCCCTCCTGTGCCTTTGATATGCCTTGGAGTCGCCACTAGATCCTCAGTATTACCAGCAGGCAGGCCAAGTGGGAGATAGAAGGAGAGGTTTCTGGTGAGTCAGGCCTAGACACAGCGCACATCATTTCTGCCCACATTCCACTGCCTAGAACCGACTCACTGGCCTTACCTCAGTTCAAGGGAGGCGGGGGAATGTGCTTTAGCTGTGTGCCCAGGTGAAAACACAAGCTGTTTGGGTGAATACCTAACAAGTATCGGCAACAGAAAATGTCACATTCTAAGGTGGGATGCAGTGGGCATTGGGATGGGATGATTCTTTGTTATGCAGAACTGTCTCATGCAGTGGGGGACATTTAGCCTCCCTGGACCTTGACCATTTAAATCCATGAGTGTGTCCTGTCATGGTGACACCCCCAGATACCTCCATATACTTCCATAGGTCCCTTAGGGGGTATGATATGGTTGGGAAGTGACAGAAACTGACCTGAGGGACACTCACTGTGAGGGTGTCCACACTGTAGTACTAACACAGATGACAAGCAGAGGCTCCTCTCTGAGAAACTGTAGAGAGAGTCAGACCTGAGGCGCAGAGATGATCTTGAGGCAGAGGACCCTGACAGTCTGGGCAAGGAGATGGCCACACCCCAGATAACACTGAGGCTCTACTGGAGGAAATGTCCATGTGCTCAAGGACCTGACAGTTTGGTGGAAGGAGATGTCCACACCCAGGGGTTTCCTAACACTGAGAGGAGGAGGGAATCCTAACAATCTGCAGGAAGAGGTGTCCATGTCCTAGAGTCACCCTGATGGCCTGGAGGATGAGTTCGAGCTCTCCACACTCCAGAGGACCCCAGTGGTCTGACTTGGGAACAATCCACACCCATGCTGTCCTGACAGTCAAGAAAAAGAAAAGTCCTCACCCCCGAGAGATCTGGACAGTCGAGGAGACCAGGTCTACACCCAAGGGCACCCTGAGTCTCAAGGAAGTACCCATCCCCTCAGTGTCCTGACACTCTGGAGTAGGTGTCCAGACCTCAAGAGACCCTTAAACGTCTGAAGGAGGACATGACCAGACTCCATAAGACCCCAAGAGTCCACAGAGCAGGAAGTATCTCAGCCTCACTGTGCTGACGTCTGGAGGAAAGCTGTCTGCCACACAGAATCATCCTGACAGTCGAAAGGGGGGAAGAGTCTGCATCCCACAGGCGGCCTCAAAGTTCCCTGGATCTGATACCTTTCTGGCTGCTCTTCCTTAGTGTCCTTACTCCACTACCCTGGATTTCTGGGGACTCTCTCTTCCCGGCCTCCCTCTTGCCACATTCAGCGACTTCCAGCCCCACAGTGGCACCCTCAGACCTGTGAGTCCTCCTGATGGCAACACAGGCCCTGAACGCTGCCAGAGCCTAACTGTCTTTTCGCATCCCTCTTTGAAGAGGCAGCACAGCAAGGTGGTTAGGAGGGTGGGTCCTGGAGCCTGACTGCCAGAGACCGAATCCCAGTTTGACCACTCATCAGCTGTCACTTCCCCTCTGTGTCTCAGTTTCCTAATCTGTAAAATGGGACTGACAATAACACCCACCTCACGCAGTTGTTGCAAGAACTAAATGGGTTATATGTCAAGCCCTTGAACAGTATTCAGTACACGTTTTATATAAATGTTAGCCAGTACAATCCAAAATTCAGAAAATCCAAAATGCTCAAAAAACCCCAAAGTTTTTTGTAACCCATCTGGCTGCAAGACCCAACCTGGCCTGCTAGGGGCCTATTTATAGTCTTTATTTATCCTCTTTGGGGTGAATATTCATAAATTTCATTGAAAAAATGCTAATGTCCTTGACTTTGTGGTGCTGTCCCAGATGCTACAGGATGCTCTATAATCAAGGGTACATCTCCATGCCTGTATACCACTGCATCCCTCTCCAGCTGGGACACTCACCTTCTGCACTGACAGTTCCCACTGTGAGAGCTGCCCTTCCCTCTTCCCTCCTTCACACTCTTCCACATTTGGTCAGCACCGTCACATTCCTGCAGAACATGCCCACCCTACCCAGCAGAGAATACTGGCCTATTTTATCCATTCTAAAGCATGCATTTGCTTTCTATTTTAACATCTCTGAAATGAAGATGAGTCTTAATTAATATAATTAAATGATGGCGTATCATCTAATGAGCAGCAGTTTTTCCCTTCTTGGTAAAGGGCACATAAAATAAGGGTGCATTTGAGATTCTGACAAGATCCGGCACTGGTACTCGTGACCACTTCTTGCGCTGTTCAGTGTCCTAGCAAAAACAACACCTTTCACATCTATGATCTCATTGGATCTTTACAATAGTCCGTGTCAGGTTGGGATTTTGTCACTATGATTCTTATTCTACAGATGAGAAAACTGAGGCCCTGAGAGGTGGTAAACTTGTAGTAGTAAACTTGCTCAAAGTCACAAAGCTAGTGAAGTGGGTAAAAACAAATAAAGGCCTAAATGTCTAAAACTGGTGCTTTACCAGGCCGAGTGTCTTTTTTTTTGGCTTTTGGCTGAGGAAACAGGCACACAGAACATTCAGGATCCCATATACAAGAGGGTAGAGGAACAGCTGACTCCGAGTCTTCTAGTTCCTGTCAAACATCAGCAGCCTTTCCAAGCTGCCACCTTAGAGCCTGTCTGTCTTCCCCAATCCTTCTGGACAGCTGCTGGGGAGCAGGGATGTGGACTGATCTGTTCCCAAGTTTTCAGGGTGGACTAACCACACAGAGTGAGACTGAAAAGATGATGGAGAAGGAACCAGGAACCGTTTGTACCCTGGAGGGCTTGTAGTATGACTCACTCCTAGTGAGACCGGGAGAGCAGGTAGGGACAGAACAGGCAGGAAAATGGAGACCAGGGAGGATGTGGGCATTCCCCCTGGTTTGAGGAGGGGCCACAATTAAAGAGATGGCTCAGATACTACCCAGTATGCCCATGAGTACAGGGGAGGCTGCCCTTTGATCCCAGGGCTTAATTACAGAGGCTGCCAGCTTCTGAGGTGGGGTGGGAACTGGGGACTTGGAAGGCCACCTGGAGAAGTCAAATTTGTTTGAGCTGATGCCACAGGAAGAGTCCATGTTCTCCAGGAAGTAGGGGAAGACTGACCTTGACATATTCCACCTCAAAACGCTCCCGTGGCTCCTGTTGCAGCCCTCAGGAAAGAGTCCCTACTCTTCAACTTTGTGTCAAAGTCCTTAATTTTTTTTTTTTTTTTTTTTAGAGCCAGGGTTGCACTCTGTTGCCCAGGCTGGAGCCTCCAACTCCTGGGCTCAAGTAGTCTTTCCACCTCAGCCTCCCAAGTAGCTGGGACTGCAGGTTCATGCTGCTATGCTTGGTTAATCTCTTTATTTTTTGTAGCGTTAGGGTCAGGCTGTGTTGCCCAGGCTGGTCTTAAACACCTGGGCTCAAGTAACCCTCCCACCTCAGCCTCCCAAAGTGCTGGGATTAAATGCATGAGCCACCATATCAGGCCCCAAAGCCCTTTTATAATCTGCAACTTGCTTTAGAGGATATATCTTTTTTCCATTCCCCCTCAATCCCTAAGCACTGTGTTTCCTGATCAAAATGTTGCACTGTGGGTGTAGAGTCCATCTCTCTGTCACCAGATTGTGATCCCTGAGTGTGGGGACCAGACTGTGAGCCCTGAGACCAGGCACAGGGTAGGAATAAAAATCCACTGAATGGCTGGGCTCGGTGGCTCAGCCTGTAATCCCATGCTTTGGGAGGCCGAGGTGAGTGGAT